AATTTTCCCATAATTAGGCATATATAATGTCAGTAAAATTTGTGTGACAGAAGAAATTACTGGAAAAACAGTGAAAATAATATGCATATAGTTTATTACATGAAAACATATCGCCATTATATATTTGTTTATTCTGAGCATCTTAAAAATCTGTTTTGTCTTTGTCACCACAATTTAATTTTAATTTACATAACTGTAAAACTATATTGTGTTGCATAAAATCTAAATGTTGCGAATAAATCAATTCTGTGTATTATAAAATAATTATAAGACTGTTAAACAACAATTTTATAAGTCGTTTCTAAATATTTTAATACGGTCGTAAGCCATATCTATAAAACAAATATATAATATCCATAAAACTATTATATAATAGTAGTTTCAGAAACAAACTTATTTTATAGGTATGTTGATAGTTCCAATAATATAACTTTAAAAAAATTGTTATATAAAAATTTTATAACATACTCCAGAATGTTTTATACTTACTTTTATACTCCATAATAAAACTGTTAAGAATCACATTTATTTTATAAACCTGCGCCTTTTCCGTGTTTATAAGTGCCATATAAGCGTCTATAAAATGCTTTTAAAATATACAATTTTTATAACAAATTGTTATATAGTTGTATATATAACTTTTTTGAGTATTTTTTTGCTGCTTGTGCTGTTCTTTTTTGAAACAAACAAAATATCCTTGTGACTTTTTAGAGTTTAAAATGTTCTTTTTTACGGCACATGTCCTTTTTACAGCACATGTCCTTGAAAGAGACCAGCAGGATTATTCTACTAAATTTATAGCCCGGCTACAAGTTGGATTTTGGCTTGAACTTTATATGTTCCTAACTTCAAAGTGGAGTCCTAGCTTTTTCGTATTCTATTAAGCTTCTAGCACCCCTTATAGTCTGCATATGAGGACTATACTGTAGTCTATTCTTATAAGCACCAAATAAGGTGCCTATTAAAATTAAAAGTATGCTAGAAGTGTACACATATCCTGATTTTTTGTTTTATTGGAATTTGATGTGAGAGTTGTGAATATTTATCGGACAATTATAAAACGGCAAATGTTAAGTGGAACAAACTTAAACAGAAAAATCTTCAGAAAACAACAGGTAATTTAAAATTTAACAATTGTTTTCCATTGTCCAACTCATTTTTGGGGACCCATTTCATTCAAGTTATCTGATAATTTTACCCACATTTCCCCAATGAACTGGTTCCCCTTGCATTTTTTTCCCTTGTATGCCAACAAACTTTCCTGTCGCAAATTTTTTATGATCAGACATGTAGTCTACTAAGTGGTTTAATTGAATTTCTGTACATCTCTGTCGTTTCTGATCCATTTTTAATCATAAAAATCTAATAATAAAAAAGCAAAACACTGGTAGTAAACACAAGGTCTAATAAAGTATTGAATGGGAATTGGGAATTATTCATTCTTCTTTTTTGAAAAGTATTTAGACTAAACATCTATTAGTACAAGATCCGGCTGCGAAATTAGTACATTCATAATGTAGTTGATCGAAATCTAATTTCGACGTACTTTTATAGCAAGGAGAATCCACTTTTCAGTAGGTGCCAATTAAAAATTGCCCGCTAGTATTTTTAATTAAAATAATATTAATTGAGTTTTCGGGAAACATTTCGTTTACATCTTACGGAAATAAATCCTACTCCACTTCACAACAATGTAATTGAAAACTTTAAAAAGGTACAGTTGCTGTTGATCACTTAGCCGCAACCTCGTCGCAGCCAGGTGTAAACAGGTATAACTTTGTCTAATTTTTTCGTTCATGACGTATATTCATTCCAATTGTGCCATATTATAGCTAATTTTTTTCTGTGCTTAATGTAATAAAGCTGCCTATAAAAAAAAAACCGCAAATAAAAGTTTCCTGCCGTTAAAGATGCTAGGCATTGTAAATAAAGTGACAGAGAGTGAGCGGGTAATGCTACTTGTCCGACAAAGATGTTAAATGCCGGCTGTACGCGCTTTTTAAGCTATTGCGCATGTCTCGATAGATAGGGTTCTCAACTAAGCAGCTGAGCTGAGGTGTTTATTATTATCCTAAGCTCACAGTTTTGGAGCTCGTAATACACATAATTATTTTTATAGTTGTTGTTTTATTAATATTGAAATAATATTACTTTTGTTTATGTAAAGATAAAATTTAAAAAATGACCACGTGTTTTTTGTGTAGTAAAAAGAACAACGTGTTCCAATTTAGTAATGCATCGTTTAAAAAATGTTTCTCAATGTTATTATTCCGACGTAAAAAAAAAATATAAATATCACGATATTATATTAACAGTGGAATCTGCTAATTATTTTGGTTACCATACTGAGTGTCTTAAGAAAATCACTGTTTTGAAGCAAAAAGATAAAGAAGAATTTGAAAGTTTTTGCAAAAGTCAAACTGTAAGTAAAATTTTTTATTTAGTGTATTAATGCATGTGACTCTGTCAGACATTACTTAATATTTAGAATAATAAAGAAATTAGAAATGAAAAGTTTATTAATAAATAAATATACAGTACACTCAAACAATTAAAAAATCTATACTTTTTTCTAATGAATAATTTTTAATTGTGTATTAATCAATTTTTAATTATAAAAAATTAATTTATGTCTGTTACATTAATATTATGAATTATACAGGGTGTTTCAAAAAGGTATGTCATAAATTCATCCTCAGATAGATTACCAAAAAATAAGTGGATTTGGCTATATTTACCTATATCAAAAACTGGCTCCCAACAAAGTTACAAGGTGTTAAATTAACATTTAGAAAAACGTTTTTTTTTTTTATAAAAAGTTTGCTGTTGCGATTTTTTCTTCGAAATTTTTGCCAGTGCTGTAGATTTGAAGGCCCAATATTCTAAGGAGAAAAAAATTAAAACAAAACCTTTAAAAAAAAGTTGGGGGTTGGGTACCTTTTAACCCCCCAGTATTTTTTTTGACATAAAGAAACTTGCTTTATTGGTTCTAAAATTAAAAAGAACTATGAATTTTTAATCTTTTTTTTATAGGGAAATGAGTTTTTTATCTTTCTTAGTTAACGAGCTATTTACAATTTTTTAACTGAATTTGTAGAGCAATTCGTCCGTTCCGAACTTAACATATCAACAAAACTAAGAGTAGGTCAGGAGTAATTGTACAAAAAACGCATATAAAAATCAGTGGTGTGCAATAGCTTAAAAAGCGCGTAGTCGGCATTTAACATCTTTGTCTGACAAGTAGCATTGCCCGCTCACTCTCTGTCACTTTATTTACAATGCCTAGCATCTTTAACGGCAGGAAACATTTATTTGCGGTTTTTTTTATAGGCAGCTTTATTACATTAAGCACAGAAAAAAATTAGCTATAATATGGCACAATTGGAATGAATATACGTCATGAACGAAAAAATTAGACAAAGTTATACCTGTTTACACCTGGCTGCGACAAGGTTGCGGCTAAGCGATCAACAGCAACTGTACCTTTTTAAAGTTTTCAATTACATTGTTGTGAAGTGGAGTAGGATTTATTTCCGTAAGATGTAAACGAAATGTTTCCCGAAAACTCAATTAATATTATTTTAATTAAAAATACTAGCGGGCAATTTTTAATTGGCACCTACTGAAAAGTGGATTCTCCTTGCTATAAAAGTACGTCGAAATTAGATTTCGATCATCTACATTATGAATGTACTAATTTCGCAGCCGGATCTTAGACTATATGTGCTATGAGCAAAATCATATAATTATTCTTCTTGATGTTCTTAGAACACAACGTTGCCAAACCTCACAGACTAATTTTCTAGTACTGTAGTTGTAGCCCTATTAAATTTATAGTCGGACTATTTCTAAGACTAGTAGAATATGGCTGGACTATAATTTAGAGTCTACATGTTTAGTATGCTAAACTTATAGTCTCTTTTATAGTTCCTTAGTAGAATAACCCTGCTGGTCTTTACAAAAATATAAGCTGAGGACCTGTTTTTTTTAGTAGGCGCACAGATGAAACCACGTTGTCAACCTTTAAATTGTCGGTCATCCAGAATTTCAATAATTCTTTATAAGAAGCGGCAATAAGGTAAAAACATATCAACTATTGTCTGGAAGGTTATAAAACTTATAAATTAGCCAATCAGATTTTAGACTTCATTATGACGATGTTTAAAAAATATTATGGCTTGTGTTTCAAATTTGCTGGAATTTTTTGGAATTTTAAAAAATTCTTGTAGGAAAATTTGGAAAAAAAATTTGTTTTCAAAAAAATATTTTTTTAGATTATTATTTGTGCTGGCTTTTAGAAAAAAATATTTTTGAATTTCACTAAACACGCCCATTATAGGGTCATCAGCAAATAAGTGAATATACTTGCAATAATTAAGTTACATTATATATAAAGAAGAAATAAAATAACTAAACACAGGACCCCGAGGGACTCCCTAACTTTTATCAAAAACTTGAAGAGTCCTTAGTAGTTCTTACAATTTGTTACATTCTGAAGGATAAGATTTTATCAGGCTTCGTCTTCGAGTCCGTAAACATTGAGTTAATACTGTATGATTGACACTATCAAACGTCTTAGTCATATCACAGAATATACAGCTGCACTGAAATTAATTTTAGAGGCACCAAGTTCAAGAAAATATCTAAATAAAAAAACGGGGACGGAGGAGTCGATCCAGTCCTGATAATGAATTTAAGCAACTAATAATACATATGATATGTGTAATTTTCGATTGATTTTTTCAAAAACTCCATAATGCCCACGCGCTGTAGTGCCGCTAAACATCGTAAAGCTGTGTCATTTTTTATTAGGTCGGCAGGATCGTGTAGAGTTTCACTGGTAAGGAGTTCAGCAGTTACTTATTTTATATTTCGTATGTTTATCTGAGCTAATGTAGAATATATAGGGCTAACATTACTGGCGATTGTCAAAAAGTCAAAAGACATCCTGGTTCAGATTATAACAACACCAATAAATTTTAATTAAAATTGAAACTTACTCTGAGATTTTCTTGAACTCCACTTAATTCATATTTAGGACTTTCTTTTTTTGTTTTTGCAGACTTAGTAGATTTCTCAGGATCGTGCTAAAGAAAATAAAATTACGAACTTTAAAAATCCAAAAAATATACCAGAAGCATTAAGATTTATATTACCCCACAAAAGTTACGTTTCGCTAACGCAAGATGGAGTTATGATAGCACAAAAATTGTCGAAAACTAGCGCTAAACATTATAGTTTTCTGTAACTACAAATATTGCTAATTAGAGATGGTACATGAAGCAAAAGAGGACAACACTTGATATAGAGACGGAATAATATACGTTGTTGCCAAGTATATACACAGAGAAGTATCTACAGTTCTAGTTGACACATAAATATTGTTAAGCGGCGGAGGGTTAAAATTGCTTAGTTTTGATTTTCGTGACATTTTATAGATACAATTACTGTGTGAGTTGTCGAAATAGTAGTTTTTGATTTCTAGATTTAAATGGCATGGGTTGTCCAAAAATCGTCCTGGGAAAAGCGAGTTATTCTCAAAAAGAAAGTTTAATATATGTTTCTAAAGTAAAAATTATCCTTAGAGAAATAAAAAAAAAATAAAAATTTTCTCTATATCCTGTTAGGCACAAAATTATATACTCATTTATCTCTGATACGTCCAAAAAACTGCCTATTTTACAGATTTTTTATTTATATACGCTGATATCATAAAAACTGCAAAAATTGGTAAAAATGTATTCTTGTTTATAACTAGATAAAAACTTGTGATTGTGAAATCATAATTTTATCTTAAATAATAAGAGAGAATTAAAAGAAACTAGTACCATGTCAGTATTTTGACGAGCGTACCTTAGACTCACTCACATTGGAACCTTTTCGATGCTGGACCAAAATTTTGTATACATAATACGTACATCGGCCTAATCGGTTAATCTATTCAGCTAGGTAACTGTTTAAATTTATATGAATTAGTAATAAAAAGTCTGTACGGTGTACACAGCCTGATTGAGGAAAATACAGAATACAGAGAAAATATGATTTTGTAATATGATTTCAAGGAGAATTTTACTTTTGAAACATACCTATATTTTAAAAACTTTATTAATATGTATTTTCGGTTGTTTATTTTTATAATGCTTACATATGGTTTTGACCTCATTGACTGACACCTAGTTCCAAATATGGAATATGATAATCTTACTGAGACATGATTTTTATATTGTTAATATAAATATAAATATCTAAATTCATTAGTCAGTTCATTTTTGTTTTAACTTGTATCAGTTGTATCTAGACTTAATTTTTAAGTTTTTGACATTTATTTTATAGTTTAGTTGTTAAAAGTTATTAAGAACGCAGATAAAATGCCTCGATTATTTACGAAAACATCTCGTCGGGGTTGGAATTTCCGAAAAACTAATTCGTTAGGTTTTGAGTTATTATTTTTTATAATATGTATAGCGCTCAGTCACAAAATTCTCATAATTTTAAATTATTACGTAACATCGAAATAAAATATTGTGAAACAAAATATTAAGAGACAAACATCAAATAAAGAACTTTTTAATTATTTTTATGAATCAGGCCAACCAGCGGGCTGGAGCCATAATTTAAAATATATAGATTATAAACCATATTATATAGTATGAATAAAAAAACGAAGAAAAAAACATTTTTTCTTCTCTCGCCTTATATTTTAAAATATATAGGTAGTTCATAAACTATATACAGTATGATTCAAAAGAAAACTAGAAACAAGAGAATATATTACTCATTCTTTCTTCTTCTTTACTAATAAATTGTAAAAGGTATGGCTATAACTAAGTAATGAAATAATACCTATGAAGCATAAAATATTTAAATTATACAGTGTGAAAAGTCCATTATAACTGGCCCTATTGAAGATTAAAAAAAAAAAAACATTTACAGAATGGTATACAGCATTAAATTCTATATTTTAAAATTTGTTTCGAATAACTTCAGTCTGGAAAAAATTACCTTTTTAAAATGGATGACCCTGTATTTTATATCATATTTGAATTACCCTTGCTTTCCCCATTATTATCATATCAACTAGTTTGGGATTATACAAGGTATTTTACATGCTATAATTTATATAAAAATGTATTGATTTAAATTGCACTAGTAGAACGGTATAGAATAAGCGATACTATTTATTAGACAGAGGTAGAACAGTCTGCGCCAGCCCACTAGTGGCAGAGGTGTAACCATGCGTCTAATCACGGTAGGAAGTCAGCCGAATTACGAGAATCTCCCCTTATTTTTTTTTTCAAAAATGCAAAGATAATTAAGTATCTCTTCTTTATTTTAAAGGATCCATGTGTTAACGCACTGTATGTATCGCAATTAAATTTCCAAATTTCTTTTTTTTTTAATGAGCGTTTGCATACCTACATGCGGCAATCACGTCCCGCCTTCCATTACTATTTGTAATCAGTCACTGTCCAGAATAAAAAGTTGTTCGTAGATTTAATGACCGTTCTACATTTTTGTTCCTTCGATTCCTCATAATTAATCAATGTACATAAATAATTAAGCTACGCCGTTGTCTGTAAAACAGATAACGGCTGCGCATAAGAGGGACTCTATCTTATAAATATAATAAACAAGTTTGTTTTTGATTGTCTCAAAACGATTTCGCGTTGTAATGCGTTTATCTAACTGTTACAACTTTGAAATATTATACATTTTTATATATTAAACATTTAAGAATTTGTACAGTTGTTATGGAAGTTTATTAATATTTAAACCAAAAATATCATATATGTTTTCACAAAAAAATTGAACATGTCTATTAACAATGTTCTTTGTCGTATAATCAATAAATAATCCCACAATTAATTATTATATTTGCGGTTATATTAACCATTCTGAAATTCTGTATTTATTCTCTGATATGCAATTCGATTTGGTAAAATCACAAAAATTTCGGCGGTCGCGATACATCCAAGTGGGTAGATATTCAGAAACGTTAATTCAATTTCTATTCCTAGCAGCACCGACTGGACTAATGTTTTAGGTACCAAATTTAAAAATATTTATTAAATTATAACGTTTTTATTGTTTTTTTTTTACGATTATTCAATGTTATTTCATAAATCTTAGGTTGTTTGTAAAGCAATAAAAAGTTATAATAACAGGAACTAGACTAATTTTGTACGCTTATACAAGTTTTAGAGATAATTTATTGTGAAATATTTTTTTTTTTTTTAATTTGGTGTCATCGGCGTCGACTACTACGGCCATTAGCCTCGTGTTCTGTATAGGCTTTGTTACTGTTTCCCAGCGCCACTTTAGGAACAGATTATTTATAAGTTTAAAAAAATTGTAAAAATTCTTCTAGTATAACAATGACATAGAGATCACATAGAACAATTTTGAAAAAAATCTAAAGAAAGATAACTTTTTTACTTACTTGAATTTTTGAACAAAACATTTTTTCCTCAAAAACGGCTTGCCAGATTTTTTTTTAAATTTGTCCATTAGTTACTTAATTGATTAGTATGTTAGGTGAATTTTTTGAAAATTTTTGAACGTGATTTATTTTTTGGTCTGGTAAGATAAACCTTAATACTCCTAAATAAGAGAGTCTGGAGCAGATTACCCACAGCAAGAGAAGAAAATATATAATATAAATAAAAAAAAAGCTTTAGGTTTTATTATTATTATAGACAAGAATTTTATTGAAATCGCGGATTTCTAAAAATTATAATTAAAAATTTCAACTTACTCTGAGATTCTCTTGGATTGGTTTCTTTAGTGGTGGAGGCTGAGTAACTTTCTCAGGCTGGGTAGTTTTCTTAGGCTGGGTAGTTTTCTCAGGCTGAGTAGTCTTCTCAGGCTCGGTAGTTTTCTCAGGCTCGGTAGTTTTCTCAGGGTGGGTAGTTTTCTCAGGCTGGGTAGTTTTCTCAGGTTGAGTAGTTTTATTGGGCCGAGTAGTTTTCTTAGGTTGGGAACTTCTCTCAGGCTGGGTAATTTTCTTAGGTTGGGAACTTCTCTCTGGCTGGGTAGTTTTCTTAGGTTGGGAACTTCTCTCAGGCTGGGTAGTTTTTTTAGGTTGGGAACTTCTCTCAGACTGGGTAGTTTTCTTAGGTTGGGAACTTTTCTCTGGCTGGGTAGTTTTCTGAGGCTGGCTGGTTTTCGCAGGTTCACACTAAGTAAAAATAAAAACTTTAAAAGGAGAAATAAATTATATACAGGGTGTGTTAATAAAAACTTTCAGGCCAAATAATTTAAAACTAATACGAGAAAACATCAGTAATGGGGTTTTTCTATTTTGCTATATGCAGATTTATGGATGATTACCCAAGTAACCAAAACTCCACTACTTATTCATTTGAAGCTGTCAAACCGTTAAATACAATAGCCAATTAGCAATGATTGCTAACAGGACTACAAACATATATCAAACAAAAATGAATAATTGTATTTTAATTAGATTTAGGGCCAGTCTTTTCACCTCTGAGTAAAGTTGAAAATAACTACTTGCTGATTAAACTACAGGGCAATTGTTTGTTAATCTGTCAAGTAAACCTACATGTAACTTTACTCAGAGGTGAAAAGATCGACCCTTATTGTATATAAATGCTTCATGTGAAACTTTTTTAAAACTAAGCTTTAAAACTTCAATATTGGCATTAATCTGGATTTTAAATGGCAATACAATTTTAAAAAATGCACTGAATATTGGTAACCTCGAAATATTAGGGACGATATACCTATTGATCCCAGAAGTTGGCTGGAAAGTCCAAGAAAAATTAATATTGAGAGTCATCGGTCAACATTGTCTTAGAGGCAATCTTAAATATTAATGAAGGAGTAAGAAAAAATACTTGACAAAGTGGGTTGCATGAACGTTCATTAAAATTTAGTTGCCTGATAAACTTTGACAGAGATTTAGAATAAATATTTTTAAATTTTTGTAAATCAGACAAAACAATATTTCAATTTTGCATATATAATACTAGTAATGTGTAGAAGGGAGTTACAAGGAAAACACAGCCAAACACAGCGGAAGAAACAATACCATATTTTTTTAAATTTAATTTTCATGTATAAATAAAATTGGTTAAATATATGCTCAATGTAGTTGTAGCAGCCTAACAGATATATACGAAGAAATTATCTGAAATAACATTCCACAACTAGATATACAACATAGTAAACAATGTGCAGGGTGATATTTGGGAAATTGAGATACTAATTGTGCTTTAAGTGAGAATGTTGCAACCGCATTAGGTAGGGCAAGTCAAAGAAAAGTGTGGACAACTGCGAAAAAATCAATTGAATCCCCTTCACGTTGAACTTGAACATTTACCCTGCTATCAACTTAGGATTCACCCTATATAACTATTACATACAAGATTTTTATAATTTTGACTAAATTATTTGTTTGGTAAAAAATGACTAGCTTACCGTTAATTTTTTGTACTTCCAAATAAAGATTTAACAAAATAAATATTTGGAAAATTGTTCAGAAAGAAATGTTGCATTTTATACATAAAATTAGATTTATTTGAATGAACACAAATAGTTATGCTTTCGGTCACTTGAAGAATTTTTAATAACATTTTCTATCTATGTAACTCATTACTTTCGTTTGCATTGTTAGTTGGAATCACTTTCATTGGTATATTTATTTGGAAAATCACATTTTCAACCACCTGCTGTCAGTTGGTTAAAGCAAATTAGCTTTCAAGAGGGTTATTTCGTTGTATATTGAGTGAAACAGTGCCTTATTTTATGCAGATTTAGGATGGAAAATAAGGGCCAAAATATAATTATTACTAATTGAAAGTTTATTAACAACATTTATTTTTATATAGCCAACCTTTCTTCCCTCGATATAAACTTTTAAAGGCAATGTATACATTGATTTAAAAACAAAAAACAAATATATTTTTGTTTTCTTTCCGCAACTTTTCGTAGCCAGGTTACATAATGTCAACTTTATGTAACTGGTTACACAAATAGATCATTTTGACCCTGCGATTACAAAAAAAAAGTCACTTAATACGTCAAAATTAGGAAAAACGTGTATGCGTTAGATAAAACGTCTAAGAAAAAACGAGCCACCCAAAAAATTTACGAAATTATCTGTCATATTTCTTATTTTTTAATTACGTAAAACAGGTTAGTTTGCGTACTTGCGAAGTCATGCCGACCCTGTAAAGATCATAAACAAATTTTGGGAACCGAGTAAACCAAAAAATGTATCAGAATACTTTTTTACTGGTCAATTAAGTTTCATGAAAGTGACTGTTTTGAGAATTTTATGAACTTGTTTGTATTGTGTTCTTAAGAACATTAAAGGTATTTTTGTACTACACTGGTCTTTGTAAAGTGTAATCCTTAATAATGGATGAAAAATATTAAAGAGCTATTCAGATTGTAACATTATTGGAAAATGGAGCAAGTCAACGGGATGTGGCGAGACAATTAAATGTCAGTCGTTCGACTGTGCAAAGAACACACCAACGGTTTCTTGCGACCGGCTCTTATCACCGACGACCCGGTACACTAAAAAAATACAACAGCCAGGGAGGATCGCTTTACTCACCATTGCTGCTTTATGAGACCGAACCCAAACCGCAAAAATGCTCCAAAGTAGTATTTAGCAACCTCATGGAACGGCAGTCAGCACTTCTACTGTTCGGCGAAGGTTAAGATAGTGTTTTGACAGCTTGCAGTCCAGCTACAGGACCCTTGCTTACTGCAGCACACAAAAGACACAGACTTGCTTTGGCTCACGAACATATGAATTGGACAGTGAACGATTTGAAAAATGTACTGTTCACGGTTGAATGTAGAATGTGCATATATGGAAAAGATGGCCGAAATAAAGTTTACAGAAGAGCTGGAGACCGTTATGCTGCCTGTACTCGGTCACCTCGAGTTGCTTTTGGTGGTGACTCAGTAATGTTTTGGACAGGAATTTCTTTTGGGGCACACACGAATCTCGTTATTATTGATAGAGGCGCATTAACATCACGACGATACATAACAGAGATCCTAGAAGAACATGTATTGCCATATGGTAACACAATACCTTGAAGAGGTTGGTATTCTCAAAATCGATTGGCCTCTTCTAAGCCCGGATCTTAATCCTATTGAGCATGTTTGGGACCAGCTCAAAAGACGTGTAAGACGTCGCATACCTGTTCCAACTACACGCGAAGAGCTTCGGTTGATCCTTAGTAAGGAATGGACCACTTTTCCTCAAGCAAACATTCAGACTTTGCTGATGTCTATGCCAAATCGAATGAGGAGTGTCATCCAGAATCTGGGTGGCAATACGCCGTATTGAAAAGTGAACCTCACCATTTATTGCCTCTTTAATTTTATTACTGCAAAGTAAACTGTAACTGTAATTTTTCAATAAATTTATGATTCTCAAATGTTTTTGCTTTCTCTTCGTTTGTGATTTATGGTAACATCGGATAACATGGTAAAACAATTACTGACTTAATATACAATAGATTTATTGTAATAAAAATAAGATATATTTAAAAAGATGAATTATTACGTAAATTTTTTAGGTGGCCCGTTTTTTCTGACGCGCAGTGTATGCAGGCCCATGACACTCCCTGGGCGGGAAAAAGACACGCAGCTTTTACTGCGCTGACGTTTTCGGGATATAACCTATCACTTGTCATAAATCCGGTTAAAAACTCGCTACCATGCGCAGGCAATCCATATTTCGTACACAAATACAAACTTTTGTTTACATTTTATCGAAGTAGTTTTTGTAATACATTCACAGCTTAAAAACGGAAAATTTGTTGTTTTGATAGTGAATTTAGATCAAATATACCCCAAATACACTTTAGTGTGTGTTTTATCCTTATTGTTACGTATTATTGCTCGTTTTATTTGAGGACATTGGAATAAATAGAGTACTAGAAGTAGTCAAGCTAAAAAGATGTCTTATAAGAAGAAAATACATTGCATTCAACCGATTTATGTTTAATATGTTTTCGTAAAGTATTTCCAACATACTAGTTCCTTGAATGGTTGTAAATTGTAAGTGTAGAAACTGATCTAGTGCTTTGTGCTTCGTTTTTTTTGTGTTGGTGCCCCAGCCCAGCATTCCTAGCCAGCAGTAGTAGCAAAAACATTAACATTGTTTACATTCAACCCGTTTACATGTACATGATTTATCAGCTAAAAGCAGAATACAATAGTTCTCTGCAAAATGTAAACAACGCTACAAGGAAAATTGCTCATGTATAAATTCAACAATTAAATCAAAATATATTATTTTTAAAGGACTTATATCAACTATTATGTTAATTATAAATATTATAATATAAATATTTGTAACAAAATAATAGTTGTGTATTAATAAATCTGTTACTACTTCAAAAAATATATTGTTTATTCATTATCAGGTTTCAAAAATAATATGTTTCTTATTATAGTTGTAAATAAAAACAACACTTTTTATCCGTCCATTTAACACTTACAAACATATGCATATTTTAAGTTGTAAGGATCTGTAGCCTCTTAATTTTTTACATTAGACACAAGACCTGTGATGTCACATTAAATCGTGAATATGTGATAAAGGATTTAGGAGTTGTCTTTCAGTCTAATTTGAAGTTTAATAACCATTTCTTACACATAACTAAAAAAACAATAAAAGCTTTGGGTTTTTAAATCAGAAATACGAAAAAAAAAATTAGAATTACGACCAAAATCAGATTATATAATGCCTTACTAAGACCCCATCTTGAGTATGTTTCACAAATATGGATGCCTTTGAAAGTCACACATATTGACCATATTGAAAAAGAACAAAAAATATTTTTACCGTACCTTTTTATGCCATAAAAAATACTTGTACCTTTATAAGATCTCATATAAAACTATGCTCCATAGTTTTAAGATTAAATCTCTTTTACAAAGAAGAAAGCAACAGGCTGTGATATATTTTGTACTCTATTTTAAATAATGTTAAGTACAAAGATTGTGATTTGATTGACTATATAAATTTTAATGTGGCAAAGATTAATCTAAGAATCCCAAGTAACAAAAAATTATTTAGTTTAGATCCAAGTAGTATATTTCTTTTTAACAAGATAATGGCTGTTACCAATGAGTTTTTTAGCGAGGTCCAAATAGATATCTTTAATGTTAGCCTAAGAAAGTTGAGGACTGTACTAAATTAAGTTCACTAGATATAAAGGTTTGTTTTGTTTTTAAAGTTCTTGTTGCTTAACTCTACATGTAACTACTATTAATTTTTTATAGTATCCAATAAATAAATTATACCTTATGGCTGTTTTCAAACAATTCTGTGTGTAGTCACTCAGTTTAAAGTTAATTTTAAATTAATGAGTTTAATAAGAATGTCAAATAGTGATATGTATAGTGTCTATGAATTTGCTGTGTGTAGTAAATGGCCAATAAACATAACTTTGATATTTTTATTACAAGTGTAAAAACTACGAAAACCATGTAGATATAGTTCCCATTTTTAAATAAATTCATAATAAAAAGTAACGATTTTAGTCGGCCATATTTGAACTCATTCACTAAAACAAGTCACTGAGCATATATTTGTAAAAAAAAAACTGCACTAAATATGTCTCCATTATAAATTTTTATATTTAAAACTACATACTTTCCTATAGATTTTGCAGTAAGTACCTAAATAACGTATAGAATAAATTTCTACAACATAGAAAAGTTTTAGATTAGATTAATTCTTAAGAAATAAAGCAAAACCTCTATTTTGTTACTCTAACCTTGTGTGTTATATATTTTCCTTGACAAGCTAACGTTATATTTTGAACTAAAAGTAATTAAACTTTTCACTAAAAAGTAATATTTCATATATAAAAAATTTTTAAAACGGTTCTGCCTTCTCACATTTGCGAAGACTGCCCTGATATCTAATCTATTTTCTTCTTCAAAGTAATTAAGTTGTTTAACCGTTGTCTATAAAGGTATCTCACATCTCGCTCATACACACAAATTTGAAAATCAGCAGAACAAAAATTCAACTAACCAGGTATACCAAGTCCGTGTAAAGAAAACTTTTCATATCCCGAAAACGTCAAGTGTCAACTAAAATTTCTACTTTTAAAGATCAAACGCGCCGCCTCAGAGTGCCGATACTGATTGGTATATATACTGGGGTGTATGTTCAACTGGATAACATTATAAACTGCAATCAACAACTGAATGCTATGCTGGAACAACGTTGTAACCGCCAATATAGGCACATACGAGTTTTTCGTGGAACAACCTTATATGTGGTCGAAATAATCAACTGACAAAGTGGTAAGAGTATACGGGGCTTCTATTCGTATTTTAGAGTAGTAATAAAATTATTTGACTTACATACTCCGGTGTAACAACGTTGTGTGCCTGTATTATTAGATATGTGTGAATATAGTCCATCAAAGTATGTAAATTTGTATGAAAATCCTAAGAGTAAAATAATTACAACTTTTAGTTACCTACTCAACCCAATGATGTTTTAAATTTAAGTTAATAAACACGTTTTTTACTGTCACTTGTGCTTTATTTTTAAACATAAAACAACGTTCTAACCGCCCTATTTCCACAAAACAACGTTGTAACCGACGTGGATATACAACGTTGTTTTATTAAAATATAGCAACTAAGTTCATAAAACCCCGTCCTTTATACATCTAAGGCAATAATACCTAAAGTAACATTATGCAACCCAAAGACAATCATATTAAGTTTTAATAAACACTACATGTCTAAGCAATAATTAATAATAAAACATTTATTTTTTTTTTCCAAAAAAAGCAGTATTTGGTGCTTACAACGTTGTTCCAGCATAGAATTCAACTGACAGATACTTTTCGCGTGGTGTATCTTCCTCCATTTGTTTTTAAATTCATAAAATAATGGCGTTTAAATAGCGATAATGACATGCTTTCCTTATATATTAAAAAGATGACATTAGAGACAATAACGCTAGTTATAATTGCTTCCGCCAAGGGCTTTGTCAAACGTCACCACAATACAAAATTTAAGTTCTTTTGAATTCTGTCAATTGCGTTAATAAAGTTAAAAAAGCGTGTGCAATTCGTGTATAAAGTGTAATTTCTTCCATCATGGACTTGCTGCATTGGTCATGCGTTTATTTTTTCATACGTAAGAAGGTACACTTTATTCACTTGTTGCACGAATACCTATTTCTCTTTGATGTTTTAACATATACTCACTTTATTGTTAGGCTCATTCTTTTTTGGTATTGATTTCGGTTTAGCTGAAAAAAAAAAATAAATCAGGTTAGTATAAATAATGAGGCGAATGTATGAAACGCTCAAATTTATTAAATTTTGGTTTGTGGCGGGGTTGTGTAATATAGCCGATCTTCTAATGGTACACCTAGTTAACATTTAATAAAAACACATTATTTTAAAATAAATAACATAAAAATATTAATTCAATTTTAATAATTTTATTGTTTTCATACGTGTTAATCTCTATTTTTGGGTACGCTACTGCGCTCTGGCTAATCGTCTCACCGTGGCGCACTTTTATAAGTGAGCCCGAAAAGCAAGACGTTTTCTCGAAAGTCTATAACTTAAAAGAGATGACCATACGTCAACAGATCCGTGAAACGAACATAAAATCACTTAAATCACCTTAATTTGCGCAACGCACACAGTGACATCACAAAGTAGAGTGGGGCATACGAACTTTCCCATCATTGATATAAAATAGAGGAGTTGCTATGATGATACTAAAAGTGTCCGCCCAGTTTTACGTCATGTGTCAAACTCGAGCAAGTGGAGAAAGTCAGTTTTGGTGATAATTAATACCATTGTTTTTTAAATAGAATGACTTAAATGATAAAAAAACATTTTCATCTTCAAGTATAAAATTAATAATGTCAAATTAATCAAAATACGACTCAAAGTGCGTTCACTTGTCATATCGCAAAATAGTGTTTATGTCGGTCGTCTCAACGTCATTCTATCTTTATGTTTCCAATCAAAGTATATTTTTGTAACCCTAAGACAATTTTATTTTTTAAAATAAAACTGCGACTTTAATGAATCGGAAAAATGTGTGTTAATTCAACGATTGTTTTCCAAGGTAAAACCTTTACCATTAGTATTTATTACATAAAAGTATTTTTGAGGTTATGTTTATTTACAAATTTTATACAATCGATTATTTTTACAATAGATTCTTTATACAATCGATTCTTTTTAAAATCGAATATTTTCAAATCCCTTTTTACAGTGTTTACAATCAATTTTTTTATCATGATTTTTCCACAATCGATTTTTATGATCGTCTTTTTTATCGGTACTGTCTACAATAAATTCATTTTACGTCCAATGATTTTTACAATCTATACTTTTTGTAATCGATTACTGTAATGTAACATCAACGTTTTGCAATTAACTAAGTATGGTGATCTCGTTAATTCAATTTAAAAAGGTAAAATAGGTGTAAAGATAAAATACTCTACTCTATTTTATTTATTTTACTAAATAGTATTTTAGCCTGATATCTTTTAAGGTTGTAACAAGTGTAACTGGTTAAATCTGAGCTCTTATGGTATTACCCCTGTAAAATGTTATCAAGATATCCAATTAATAACATACCTTTAGAAAATATTTTATCTGCCAGCAGTTTCTTCTGCATTTCTAAACTAAATTGACTTGGACGCGGAACTTGCACGGGAGTCTGTGTCCTCCTTGGAATTGTGTATGTATTTAAATTTGCTTCGGACATATTTTGAGTATTAGATGAACTTAATGCGTTGGTGTTGTTACTTTCTGTTCCTTGTGACTTATTTTGAGCCTTAGATGAACCTACTATGTTGACGTTGCTATTTGTTGTTGGTTTACGTTCGACAGTTTTTTCAAGCGTCGTTTTTTTATGTTGATCCCTTCGAGCAGAATATGCTTGTAGGATATCTTGATCGGTTTCATTTTGTTTTAATCCTGATAAGGAAAATGAACTAGCTGAACTAGAAGTTGTATTAGTTTTTTTTTTCGGTTCTATTTCACCAGAAATATTTTGGACTACATCTTCTTTAGACCATATTTTATGTGAATACCTCCGAGCAGAATATGATTGAAGGATATCTCGATCTGTTTCATTTTGTTTTAATCCCGATAAGGAAAATGTATTAGTTGCACTAGAAGTTGTGTTAGATCTTTTATTTGATTCTACTTTATCAGAAATATCTTGGACTCTATCATCTTTAGATCTTTTGGAGGGTACAGTTTTGCTCAAGTTCGTTTCAGATGGTCTTTTGTTAGGTATATTATCTTCATTTGTTTTTTGTGAATCTAGAGATTGGTTTGTTTTCGGGTATTCATAACAACCCATATATTTTGTTTCAGATGGTCTTTTGTTAGGTATATTATCTTCATTTGTTTTTTGTGAATCTAGAGATTGGTTCGTTTTCGGGTATTCATAACAACCCATATATTTTGTTTCAGATGGTCTTTTGTTAGGTATATTATCTTCATTTGTTTTTTGTGAATCTAGAAATTGGTTCGTTTTCGGGTATTCATAACAACCCATATATTTTATTTCAGATGGTCTTTTGTTAGGTATATTATCTTCATTTGTTTTTTGTGAATCTAGAGATTGATTTGTTTTCGGGTATTCATAACAACCCATATATTTTGGCATTTTGGATTCAAAATTATTTATATGTTTTCTAGAACTTCTATCATATTTTTTGGGGAAGGAAGCCAAAGGAACACTATTAATAGAATTATGAAAATTACTGGCATAGGTAGAAGGGGCAACATAGGTTTTAAATATTTTTTGTATCGTTGGATTAATAATAATAGGTGGATCATTCGAAGATTGTAGTCGTCCACAATTAACAGTATCCCATAATGTTTTTAATGAAATGCAACCATGTTTTGTCACAACTTTTTTCTGAAGGGCTTCGCAGATTGCTAAAAAAAATAAGAACAGAATTTTAATCATTCAAATATTTTATAAACCTAGAAATAAATTTGAATATTACAAAATTAGATAAATCATTAAATACACACTGTCCCAAATTCTAGTCTTTATAATGGAGGCGAGAGGAACTACGGGAACTGGATGTAAGCACACGCAAGCTGATGCATATGAATAAAAGCATCCACCCACGCTCATCAGTCTCATGCATTTACCTTCCACGTCATCAAGGGGACAGAGGTCTTCTGAGTCTGGAAAGGTTGCATGATAGATTAACTGTGAGTTTGGCTTGCAAGGTAGCCAATAGTGCGGACCCACTACTGCAGCTGGTTCGAGACCATGAAACAACTGGTATCGGGTTGCAGGAAAAGCTGCGGTTGAACTAGGTATCAGATTTGAAATAGATGACAACCAATCTCTTACAAGGTTGGAACCCGCTCAAGTAAAACGTCTAGTTAGGGCAGCAGAACAACAGCTCCTACTGGAAGATCACGTCAGCAAACCCCAACACGGTTTTTTTTACAGGAAGATAGAAGATCTTAATCTGTCTCGGGAATTAACATTCTCCTTTCTTCGATCGGCTGACCTGAAGTCTGAGACAGAGGGATTCTTGTTAGCTTGCCAGGATGGCATAATTAATACTCTCGTATACCGCGCTCAATTTACGCATGTGGTGGATGTCAGATGCAGAATATGCCAACAGGTCACGACATAATAAATACTTATGAACAAAAGCTGAATAACTTCGAAAAACGATTCATAGTGGAATATAGATTATATAACATTGTAACGTTTGTGGGTATCAACTGGATGTACACCTTGATGTTTGACATGAAACTAGACAACTTTGAATCTCCCAAAAAAACTATATCAGGAACATAAGTAGTTCACATTCAAAAACGAAATTAAAATATCTCTTGAACTATATGATAAAACAGAAGTAAATAAACAGTGCCCTATTTGTAGAAACTAAAACCAATGCGGAAACCAACACCAAACTGTATAAATTGGGATGTAGTAAGACAGGACGGTAATATTTTAATCAAAAATATATGAGGAGGTTAACTTATGCAAATAAATCGAAAGCTAAAAATGCGAAAACAAAATCCGCCCCGTATAAACGATTCCCGAAATGAAGCACTTACATATCAGTATCCCTTTCAATGATGAAGAACTTCACATTATTTTGATATACAGCCACCCACAAACTTCAACTGACGAATATAAATTCAGAATGGCAGGAATAAAATATGTGATGATAATCGGAGCATAACTCCCGCTCTCCTAGCTAATCAAAACAGATTCAAACTTTTATTAAAGCTGCTGTTCCCCCTAACATTTTGATGCCCAAGAATAAAGACAACAATAAAAACATTTGCCACTCTCCTGTTGGACATAGAAAAAGCATTTCACATCTGACAAAACGGTCTCCTATTTAAATATATTGTAAATCTTCACACAACTAAGTCGATGGCCATTTGGTTGTAAAGTTTATAACAAATAAAGTGCTTTTATTTTTCGAATTAGTATTTTTACTAACAATTTTGTCATACGGGTCCATATAAATAATGTTTTTACCAATTAAAGTTTTTAGGATACTTACTTGCACCTGTCTTCTTTATCGTTTCGCTGAAAAATATATTAAATATTAGATTCTGAAAATAGTTTATCATTTATATTATACCTTTTGGTTATAAATGCATCATGGGGTATTCCCTTATTTATATGCAGTTCTGCAAATAGTGTTAGTGTTTTTTTCAAATCGTAATTGCAGTAAGTCAAATACCTATAAATGAAAAACCACATTAGTTAAAAATAACCCTTTAACCTTAAACAACATAAGTAAATACCTTTTTTTACTACTCACATGAGAAATTACTATTATTTACTCGATTCCTTTAAAGAGAAGTATTATTTCTCACCCTAGGTAAATAATGACAATAAAAATATGCCTAGGTAAATAATGAAACATTGTCTATATTTTTAATGAAATGAACAGAAACTTTTATTATTAAAGACTAGTTGATATTTTGAAATATTTGAATAATAAGTAAGCTGGTTTTATCAAAATCTAATCAAATCAAATATGGTAATATATCAGTGTTAGTAGTAAAAAAATCTATACTTCGGTTGAGAAGGCCCTTATAAACCTAGCACATTATATCCTTCGGCGCTAGGCGCCTTGGGATATAAAAGTGCTCGGTAAAGAATAGCTCACTTCTGTATAATATATTATTTTACATCAAGGCTGGTATATCTAAGAGGGTCGCGACATATGCGTCCATCTTGGACGCCATTTTTCCGAAATAGTATTCGCCAGGCCTTTTAAATGATATTTTCAGAAGTAATACCACAAGTGATTGAATTGGCGCGATAATTCTGTCGATTTATTTTATAACGAAACTGAGTTGCTTGATAACTTCAAACAACTCAGTTAAGTTTTGAAATAAAAGACAGAAATATAAGATAAATTCAATCACGAGTGGAATTTTATTAAACTATTTCACAAACAAAGTGAAAGGTAAAAAATCCGAGAGGAAATTAGCAAAAAAGATAAGTTGATTAGAGAAATAGTTTAATAAACAGGAAACATTGACATCGAACATACATATTTAAATAAACCAGTATTAACATAACGTATTTAAATATCTCTCAATTATAATTATAAATGGTACAGTTATTATATACAATGCTTTGAGCTTGACTATTTGAACACTCTCTTGTACTTGTAAAAGTTGATGGCTATTATTTCTCATATTTGCGATAAGTCTTTCGTGATGCTGTTTACTAAGTTGGATGTAAGGTTTCAGCGAATTAGATCTCGAATGTCCTGTGATTTTGATGGCTTCCTGTTCACCTACTCCTCTGCATAAAAGTTCACTGACTGCAGTTGCTCGATTTGAGTGGTTGGTTATTTTTTGCTTTTTTACATCAAGCCCTATATTCTGAACTGATGTTTGGGTCCATTTACTGATCGTATTAATTCCTATAGGCCTATTTTTGTATCAAGGAGTGCAGTGATCACCGGACTTCCAGTGTCCATTTACAGTAAGAAACAACCTATTAGATTTTACATTATTACCTCGTTTCGAAATTAACTTTTTATAAAGTCGCACGGGGCGCATATTCATATGTTACCGACACAACCAACCGCTCCAGAAAGCCGATTGAGTTTATATAAGTTACAGACGTAACTTTAGGATTCCGTCGGTAACTTATACAAACAACAAGTGGTACATTTGCTCCTATACAATAGGTATTGAAAAAACTCTTGATATATCAGCGAGAATACATAATGTTTATTCTTGTATAAGTTGGAAGATAAGATTTAATATTTATTTTTTGAGTCTATGAAAGTGGTTAATTATTACAGTCTAAAGAAAAGATATGTTTCGAGAAATAAACTCTAAATAAATAATAAAATATATAATATAACTCTCTACTTTTTCCTTTTGTTATCACCTAATCCTACATTTTTGTCAACACATTCCTTAAAATTGTGGTGCGCTTTTTTCTGCTTTCCGGAAATCCCGCTGGTAAGTCTTTTACTTCCAGTCACCTAAAATAGTTATTTTTGTGTTTGACATGCTCATTCTTTGTTGTAAAAAATTATACCAAGGTCATTTTGTTTTGAGAATTTCTTGATAAATAATTTTCAAGATATTCACGAAATATGGTCCATATACATTGATTATTTCAGGTAGGTATATGTAAATTAATTCAAATTGAAACTAGTAAACTTTACATTTTCTAATGTTTAAACAAAGTGTATTTCTTACCTTGGTTTTCCTTCTACTAACAGAAGTTGGCTGAACGGAGATTTCCATCCCTTTTATCTTCTTGGTGCGCCTATATTTTTTCTTTACAGTATTCAAATTTTGATACTTGAACACTGTAAACAAACCAGATACCAAAGAATTTTCTGTTCTAGTTTACTTTTTTTTTTTTATTGGTTAAACATGATTGAATAGTTGGGTGGAATAATACAGGTTTATCGTCTAATTTGTTTAGAATTGTTTCACCAAACTCATTCCATTGTTTGTTCAAATTAAGTATTTCCTCACTGGAAGTTACTAGATTCATTATTGTAATGAAATAAACAAATTTTCATACTTTAATAACACCACAGCTCGCAGTCGTCGCCAATCGTTAAGTTACAGACATAAACTAAGAATTACGTCGGCAACTTATTATTACGTGTTCGGCATCGTTCGGAAATCCGATTGTCTCTTTGTGTCGGTAACATATGAATATGCGCACGGGGCACATTGCTGGATTTTGCACATTTTTAATCAACCATTTGCTGTTCGCACATCGCTGACCACCTCCTTGGGAAGTTTTTGAAAAAACTGTATTATATTTGATTCTACCGGTAGGCGCCCCCTTATTATCTAATTCTTCTTTAAAATATTCTTGTTAAGAATCACCCTATATTTTTTTTTAGTTGTCATAGATTGTTTAATGTCATAAATTAATATCGTTGTCATTCATCTTTTTATAATAAAAAATACGTTAAAAACTCTACGATTTATTCGATAGCAATAAACATTGGTCCTTCGAGCCGGATACGTGCCAGCGGGCGAAAAACGAAAGCGATAGCCATACGAAGCGGAAAGCGAAAAACCAAAACTCAACCGGGAGAAGGAAGAAAAAGGGTCAGTAGTAAGTTTCTGTTCTTCACTCTTTTCCTTCCTTGCATATTCGATATATAAAGTTTAAAAACTTAAAATATTTAAAATATTTCTCTTAAGGAGACGTCAAAATGACTGAGATTGAAAGACTCGTCAGAAAACGATCTAACTTAATAGAGTCATTGAAATCGTTCGAAAAATTTGTTAAAGCAAATGAGGAAAATACCATAGGTATCGATAATTCGGAATTATTTTTAATTGAAATTGAGTCAAGACTGTCTAGAGTAGATGATAGTCTAGATAAGTTTGAATTAATTCAAGAACAAATTGAAGAATTGGTCACAGATACACAATTATTGGTAGATCAAAAGACCATCTGTTCAAACTTTAAAGATACTTTTTTTAATTTAATCAGTCGAGCAAAATTACTAATAAAGAAAACAAAAACGGTGTTGCAAGAGCCACCAAATGAAAGGCAAGTCACTAAAAATGACTTTAAATATGCGGAAGTGATACTTCCAGCAATTCCGCTGCCTCAGTTTGATGGATCTTACAATTCCTGGGTAGAATTTCGAGACAAGTTTAAATCTCTCATACATAATAACGAAAAAATTAGTGACATTCGAAAGTTTCACTATCTGCGTGAAAGTCTGTGCGGAAAAGCAGCTCAAACCATTAAATCCATTGAATTCGGAGAACAATATTATCAAACGGCGTGGAATACATTATGCGATAAATTTAATAATTCTGAAAAATTAATTTCCAATCACATAAGGGAAATTTTTGATTTCGAAGCCATTATTAAACCTTCTTCCTTCAAATTACATGAGCTTGCTGACACTGTGAATAATAATATTGAGTGTTTAAAGCAACTCGGAGAACCGACAGATCACTGGAATTCTCTAGTAATTTTTGTGATCTTAAGAAAACTTGATTTAACTTCTCAACGGGAATGGAAACAACAAAAAAATTAATTTAAAAAAACCGATACTTATCAAAAATTTGTTAGATTTCATTAATAGCAGAGCTGATTTTCTGGAAGATCTAGAGGATGGAAAATCCTACATAAAATTAAACGAAAAAAAATTCGAAACTTCGTCTAGCTTCAATAAAAACGAAACACAATTTCGTAAATGTTCTTTTTGCAATAAGGGTCATTTAATTGTTTTTTGTCCAGACTTTCTAGCTTTAAACGTAAAAGACAGAAAGTCAAAAGTCAAATATTTAAATTTGTGTCACAACTGCCTTCGAAGTAATCACCAAGCTAAAGATTGTAGATTAGGAGGTTGCAAATTGTGTCACGAAAAACATAATACAGTGCTTCATTTAGACCAAACATCCCAAAAAGCGTTTGTAGTTACCGATCGTGAGAATGCGAATGCAGAAGTTGAGGTGGAAGATTCAGCCTCTACCTCTACTTGTGCATTGGCTACTGACACATCTGATAATTACAAGATGGTAAATGGTGCAGTTCTTTCTACAGCATTACTAAGTATTCCAAATACGAATCATATAGTACGTTCGTTGCTAGATTGCGGATCGCAATCAAGTTTTATAACCAAACATTTAAGCGAAAAACTGAATCTTCCAAAAATTAAAACCAATTTAGCAGTAAGTGGTTTAAATAAGTCAATTTCGTTTACCGAATATAAATGCGAATTAAAACTAAAATCGACAGTATCTGATTTTGAATTTAAAATTGTGTGCTTTGTAATAGATAAAATTACCGGTTGTCTTCCAGAACGAAACCTCAGTATCTCTCAATTCAGAATCCCTGCAAAAATAAAGCTAGCCGATCCTAAGTTTTATAGCCCATCAGAGATAGATATATTATTAGGAGTGGATGTATTTTGGGATTTAATAGAACTTGAACAAATTCGACTGGGAAAAAATTTACCACTTTTACAGAGTACGAAATTAGGCTGGATAGTAGCAGGGCCTTTTAACGTACCATTTAATAATAATAAAACAGTTTGTCAGCTAACAAGCAATCTTGATACAAGCAATGTTGAGTTAAATAATGTATTAATAAAATTTTGGGAAATCGAGGAAATAATTAATAAAGGAAAACTTTTCTCTGAAGAAGAGAAAAAATGCGAGAAAATTTTTAAAGACACTGTAATGCGAGATGAAAACGGTAAATATATAGTATCTA